AATAACGGTCGACTTAAGTTAAAGAATACTACCTTTAGGTCGGTCGCCGTATATAAGTGCAGATCACCATACAAGGTAGTAGGGTCGAAAAAGAGAACATGCAGAGGAAATGGCACCTGGGACGGTCAAGAGCCTACATGCAGTAAGTAGTGCACTTTGGCCTGCTTCACACGCGCGATTATTTAGAGCGGAACGCTTTAGAATCATTACGCGTTAGTATGCGTTAGTCAGACGTCGCGTTGCGAGAGTCCGTGGGACTTCTCTTTCGCGTTTCTGTTCACTTTCGCATGCGTCACTCGTATTTTTCCAAACGCTCGCTACGTGGGTTATATTATAGGCTCTTGGACATTTCAATAAATTAAAAACATAGAAATATGCTATCTTTTTTAAGTAGCATAGAATTATCTTCATTTGGTTTTCAAAGTAGAGTAAGACGCATGCTCCAGCATTCCTACCAGTAGAATAACAAGAACTAAAATTCATCTAATTTCAGGATTCAACACAGAACAAAATAATGTTCGTATCCTGAACGGTTAATATTAGGAAACTATTACAAAGTAGGGTGTTCACTATTAGAGTTATTTCACGATCCTTCAAAAGCAGCAACTTTTACTTTAGATGTTTGTATTTATTTTATTTTTCAGGAGTGTAAATAATGAACAATTAGACTACTCGGAAAAGAACATTTGTATACCTCTTGGGGCAATTTTTTTCCCTCCAAGATGATGCTTTGCGCCATTGTATTGCCTGGATTCATAACTTAGTGGAATGATAGTCGTAAAAAAATGAATTGACGAAGATCACAAAAACACGACAACCATCTGCTCCTTTTTTCTTCTACCATGCTCTTCCACGCCTTCTTTATTACACATCTCTACAAAATATATTTCATCTGTTAATTCTAGAAATGATGTGCCAAGTCCCACGAAATATCTTAAACGGATCAATGAAGTACGATAGCTTAGAAGTTGGACAAAAGGTAACGTATACTTGCTCGCCTGGATTCATAATGGAAGGCAGGAGCACGCTGACTTGTGCGAGGACTGGAACCTGGAACAGGGTCGAGCCAAAGTGCGTATGCAAAAGAAACAATCGTGAACCTTGGAAATTCTGCAAGAAAGGGTGCAATCCAGGCACAGCTGGCAACTGCAAAAACAACCAGGAATGCATTTGTGATGGAGACTGTGGATACAGCTGTGTCCTGAAAGGTTTGAAAAAAAAATCTCTGCATTCTGTTATTTGCATTCTTGAAATGTTT